TTGTATTCTTAAAAGATAGGCTAGTTCAGTCAACAATTATGATATCAAGTTTATACATATATATACATAAATATATATAAATATATATAATTTAAAATGTATTTATTTTTGGGAGAGCACAAGCAGGGAAGGGGCAGAGAGAGGGGGACAGAGGATCCTAAGTGGGCTCTGTGCTGATAAGTTGACAGCAGTGAGCCAGATGTGGGCTCAAACTCATGAACCACAAGATCATGACCTGAGCTGAAGTTGGATGCTAAACCGACTGAGCCACCCAGGTGCCCCTATCAAGTTTATATTTAATGGAGTTTTCCACTTTGGTAATGGCTCTTATTTACTAAAAAATAGTGTATGTTTTTTTCACTCACTTTCAGATTTTTCTCATCATAATTATAATAATAGGGTTCCACTCCTTTTTAAAGGGACATAAACTTAAGTTCAACCCTTTTTTCTCCATCTGGTTAAACTTCCAACTATGTTCTTGATTAGCTTTTCATGATATGTTAGTGTAAGCATACCACAATTTTCTTACTTCCATTTGGTCTGTTTCTTTACAATGTTTTAGTGACCTATGTACCGGTAAAATAGAACTTCCTTCTGATCAGTCGTGTCCACTCAACTTTGTGATCATGTCATTGTATATGGATTATTGACAGTTGAGTAGTACTAACAATATAATTTATATAGTTGGATTTTTTTTCCTCTCAAAGTATGAACAGAGGGCAGAAATGAAAAGATAATGGTTTTACTTCTCTGTTCAAAAGATCTGGAAGAGATAACACCTTATTAATGTACAATACAAAAAAGATGCGTCTTTTAATCATAGTGTGCTTATTCGGAGTGAAGCCTGATGTGTTCACATTTACCTTTGAGTTAAGATTAGCTGAAGTAGTATGTGTTGGATTAAAATGTAAGTGAAACATGGCTTAAATTTGAGCACTTTCTCATACAGGAGATTCCGTGAGTGTAATTGGCAGAAACAACAGCAACAACTTTGACCTGAACCGAAATTTCCCAGACCAGTTCTTTCAGATCACAGATCCTACCCAACCAGAAACTATTGCTGTAATGAGCTGGATGAAGTCCTATCCATTTGTACTGTCAGCAAACCTGCATGGAGGTAATAGCAACTTGATATTCCAGTAATTAATTCTTGTTGAGAGCATTTGAAAATCCTGGTGGAATTTTATCTGTTTATAGTCTTAGGCTGTCTCAAAACTGGTATCCTGTTACTGCTTTTGCAGCAGACAGTAATAAAGATCTTTTCTCATTGCTTTTTAAGCTAGTTTTCTGGCTGTTGTCTCCCTTCCCCTCCCACATACTCCTTCCCTATTTTCTTCTCCCTCCTACCCTCCTCCCTATCTCTCTCTCCCCTTGTCCTTCTCACCCTCCTCTCTTCCCTGCCTCTCTCCCTGCCCTTGCTTAGTTCTTCAGGTGTTTTGTATTTATCCCTCACATGTGTTTTATATTTGTCTCTCTCACTGGGAATTTAGTAGCATACTCTTTGTGATTCAGAAAAATTAAACACTAACAAATTGGAAATCTTTAGTCCTTTTTTCCCTAAAATTTAATAAACCCTTTTATGTAGGTTTATAAGACATTCTTTTATTTTTTCCTTGCTATGTATTTAACTACAGCACATTGGCCTTATTCTCATGTAGTGTTTGGGCTTACACACCTTCATATAATTCAGCAAGAATTGATTAGATGAATAGAATGAGAGGTCAAGATTAAAAATCATCACAATGTCCAACTAGGGCTTGTAAGTAAGAATGAAAGTGTCAATGCCAAAGTGAACAGAAAACATATGTCTACATGTAAACTTGTACATGAGTATTCATAGTAGCATTATTCATTTTAACCCAAAAGTATAAACAACTCAGATATCCATGGACTGATGATTGCATAGGTAAAATGTAGTATACCCATACAATTGAATATTATTTGACCATGAAAAGCAAGGAAGTCCTGGTGCATTTTATAACTTAAATGAACCTTGAAAATATGCTAAGTGATAAAAGCCAGTCACTAGAAACCATATGGTATATGACTACATTTTATGAAATGTTCAGAACAGGTAAATCCATAGAGATAGGTCATAGATTAATGGTTGCCTCAGGCTATAGTGGATAGTGGTGGGAGGAAAAGGGAGTGACTGCTAATGGGTACAGGGGTTTTTTTGGCATGATGAAATTATCTGTAATTAGAAAGTAATGATGGTTGTACAACCCTGTGAATATAGTAAACAACACTGAATTATATACTTTAAGTGGATGGATTGTATGTTACGTGAATCACAGTTGACCTCCGAACAACATGAGGGGAACAGGCCCCCTGTGCAGTTGAAAATTCACGTTTTAACTTTTGACTCCCCTAAAACTTAAATAGTAGCCTACTGTTGGCCAGAAACCTTACCGATAACAATAATAGTTGGTTAACACATATTTTGTATGTTGTATGTATTACATACCGTATTCTTACAATAAAGTAAGCTTGAGAAAAGAAAATGTTATGTTATTAGGAAAATAGTAAAGAAGAGAAATACATTTGTAGTACTGTACTGTATTTATCAATAAAAATCCCCATGTAAATGGATTTGTGTAATTCGAACCTCTGTTGTTCACAGGTCAACTGTTCATCTCAATAAAGCTGTTAAAAAAAAAAAAAAGAGTGAAGGTATTAGCACCAGGGGTAATGGGGAAGTAATTTAGTGTCAACATATGTTGGAATATCCAATGAAGTATTACAGTTGAAATTTGATGGCATGTAGATTAACCTGCCATTTTATTTTATTTTTTATTCTATTTATTTTTTAACCTGACATTTTAGAATGACAGTACACAGTTATGATATTTGTATTTAAGAAGTAAATTGAAATTCTCCAAAAACTGCTTTGAAAGCTTCCCAGTAATAGGAAAAAATATCTTTACAATTGGTAATCATGAACAATTCTCAAATACCCAAATAGGAATTATGAAGTTATAGCCTGGTTGGCAAATAAATTTTTAATATATTTCATACCATATTTGAAAGAAAATATTTTTTATTTGAGTTTCAAAGAATATTCTCAGTATATGTCACACATCATGTTGGCTAAATCTGAAAACTTAATACTAGTTACATTCCAGTGAAAGTAATTTACAGATTTCAACATGTGGTATCAAGATCGTGTCATCGGCGTGGGGGGAAATACATCTTCAATCATGTGGACGCGTTTCTTTCCATTACATATCTTGCTATAAACTTCCATCTTAGAACCATTTTTGCTGCATCCTGAAGGTTTGAACTGTTGTGTTTTCATTTTAATTTGTTTCCGTGTACTTTTTAATTTCTTATTTTATCTCTTGGTTGACCCATTCATTATGTAGTAGCATGTTATTTAACCTCCGTGTATTTGCAGTCTTTCTAGATTTTTTTCTTGCAGCTGACTTCTAGTTTCGTAACACTGTGGTCAGAAAAGGTGCATAGTGTGACTTCAATCTTTTAAAATTTGTTGAGGCTTATTTTGTGGCCTAATATGTGACCTGTTCTGGGGAATAGTTCATGTGGACTTGAAAAGAATGTGTATTCTGCTGTTTTAGGATGAATATATCTTTTAAATCCATCTGGTCCAGTGTGTTATTCAAAGCCATTGTTTCCTTGATGATTTTCTATTTAGATGATCTGTCCATTGATGTAGGTGGGGTATTAAAGTCCCCTACTATTATTGTATTATTATCGATTAGTTCCTTTATGTTTGTTATTAACCTTTTTGTGTACTTGGGTGCTTCCAAGTTGGGTGCATAAGTATTTACAGTTGTGATACATTCTTGTTAGAGTGTCCCCTTTATTATTATATAGTATCATTTGTCTCTTGTTATAGTCTTTGTTTTAAAGTCTATTTTGTGTGATATAAGTATTGCTACTCCATATTTCCTTTGACATCCGTCACATGATAGATATTTCTCTATTCCCTCAATTTCAATCTGCAGCTATCTTTAGATCTAAAATGAGTCTCTTGTAGGCAGCATGTAGATGGATCTTGTTTTTAATCCATTCTGTCACTCTGTGTCTTCTGATTGGACCGTTTAGTCCATTTACATTCAAATTATTGATAGCTATGTATTTATTGCCATTTTATTACTTGTTTTATGATTGTTTCTGATGATTTTCTCTGATCCTTTCTTGTCTTTCTCTCTTCCATGGTTTCCATATATCTTTAGTGATATATTTGGATTTCTTTCTCTTTATTCTTTACATATTTATTAGTGCTTTTTGATTTGTGATTATCATTAGGTTTGTATATAACATCTTCTACATATAACAGTCTATATTAAGTTTATGGTTGTTTATTTTATTTTATTTAAAAAAAATTTTTTTTTCAACGTTTATTTATTTTTGGGACAGAGAGAGACAGAGCATGAATGGGGAGGGGCAGACAGAGAGGGAGACACAGAATCGGAAACAGGCTCCAGGCTCTGAGCCATCAGCCCAGAGCCTGACGCCAGGCTCGAACTCCCGGACCGCGAGATCGTGACCTGGCTGAAGTTGGACGCTTAACCGACTGCGCCACCCAGGCGCCCCTAGTTTATGGTTGTTTAAGTTTGAACCCATTCTTTACTCCTCTCCTCCCTATGTTTTAGGTTTATAGTGTCATATTTTACATCCTTTTATTTTATAAGTTCCTTGACTGATTTTTTACAGGAATATTCATTTTTACTGCTTTTATGTTTCCTACCTTTATACTGTCACTTTTAGTCTTTCCTTTTAACTCAAAGAGTCCTCTTTAATGTTTTTTGTAGGGCTGCTTTACTGGTCATGAGCTCCTTTAATTTTTGTTTGTCTGAGAAATTCTATCTCTTCTTTTATTCTGAATAATAGCCTTGCTGAATAGAATATTCTTGGCTACAGGTTTTTCCCATTTAGCACTTTGACTGTATCATGCCATTCGGTTCTGGCTTGGAAAGTTTCTCCTAAAAAATCTTCTGATAGCCTTATGAGGTTTCCTTTGTATGCAACTGTCTTCTTTTGTCTTGCTGCTTTTAATATTTTTCTTTATCAGTGTATTTTTCCATTTTAATTGCAATATATCTTGGTGTGGATCTGCTTTTGTTAATTTTGTTGGGGGTTCTCTGCCTCCTGGATCGGGATATCTGTTTCCTTCCCCAGATCAGGGAAGTTTTCAGCTATCATTTCTTCAAATAAATTCTCTGTCTGCTTTCCTCATTCTTCTTCTTCTGGTACTCCTATAATACAAATGTTATTACATTTGATGGAGTCACTGAGTTCCCTAAGTCTATTCTTATTTTGCATAATTCTTTTTTCTCTCTTTTGTTCAGCTTGATTACTTTCCATTACTCTGTCTTCAAAGTCCTTAATTCATTCCTATGCTTCTTCTGTCCTGTTTATTCCATCAAGTATGCTTCTCATTTCATTTATTAAGCCCTTTGTCTCTATGTTATTCCATATCTATCCTTATGATCATTGCTTTCAATTCTCTCAGGTATGTTACTTATATCTGTTTCACTTAGTTCCTCAGCCAACCTTGTCCTGTTCTTTCATTTGGGACAAATTTCTGTCTTCTCATTTTGTCTAAGTCTCTGTGCCGTTTCTCCATGTTAGGGAAGTTAGCTACGTCTCCTGTTCTTGAGGGTAATGGCCTCATGAAGAGGTCCTGTAGTGCCCTGCCATGTAGTGTAGTGTCTCCTGTTACGCAGGGCTTGGCACTTCCAGGAGTGTCTTCAGTGTGTGCTGTGTGTGCTCTGCTGTTTTGTCCTGTCTGCTTTATCCTTCAGGCCAGTTGTCTGCAGAGACTATTTTTGCCGGTTGTGGCCAGTGTTTTGTACTTGCCTTGAATGTGGTGAGTTTTAACTAGGTGTGCTCTGGTTTGCCTGTGAAGTGAGACCTGTTGCTGCCACCACCAGAACGAAGACCCCACAAAACTCAAGGTTTGAGAGCTGTCATATGGGCAGGGGCTTGAGCTGGTCATCTGGGGGTGGGGGCCCACCATACTGGGACTCAAGCAAGTAAGACTGGGAAGGATGGTTCTTCCAGAACACGGGGGTGGGGTGAGGAGAGGAGATGAAGGGTGGGGGTTAGAGGGCAGGGAGTAGAGAGTGGGGCTTGGTGTAAGCAAGTTAGGTAGCATGTGTTAGTGCTGCACTGGTTCCTGAAGGTGATTCTGTGTTTATGCTGAAGGACAGGGGAGGGAGATGGGTCTGGCCAGTTTCTTTGTTCCTAGAGAAGTTGAGAGACTTCATGGAGACATGAATGCTGCTTCTCTGGGACACACTCCAAGATGAACAAATAACCTCCCTACTGTGTGCCCCAGGTGCTCTTCAGATCACTGTTTCCACACTATGTTCACAGGCTGTTTACCCTGCCTTCTCTCTAAGAACAACCCCAGTGTTCTCTGAGCTCTCCCAGAACCAAACATGCTGACCTTTACAAGTTTAGGCTTTACACCCCACTGTTTGCAAGAACTCATGAAATTCAGGCCTTCTTGCTTTCCAAGCCAATTGCTATGGGGATTCATTTTCCCTGTACATCCCCTGTGTGTTGGTCTGTCTTTCACCCTTCTCCAAACTGTGGCTCCCTCCCCACCACAGTAGACATGATCCATTTCTCTCCTAAACCATATCTCTGCACTTCATGCCTTCTCTGTTGTGGCTTTTCTCTACCTTTAGTTGTGGAATTTGTTCTTCCAATCTTCAGATCAATTTCTGGGGTGTTTAGGATGATTTGATAGTTTTCTAGCTGTATTTGTGGGACAAGGCAAGCCTAGGGTCTCTTACTCTGCCACCATCTTCCCCTCCTTGTCCATGACATATTTTGTTTACTCATCATAAAATCTTAAATGGGTTTTGAAATCTTAGCAAAGAAATTTCAAAGAGGATTTCTTTGCTGTCAACAATTTAGAAGGATTTTGAGAGAATATAGAGAAAAGTAAGATTCCTTTTTGTAAATTTTGATATTTTTTTATTGAGGTGAAATTCACATAACAAAATTAATCATGTTATGGCAAACAATTCAGGGGCGCCTGTGTGGTTAAGTCAGTTGAGCATCCAACTTGGCTCAGGTCATGATCTCCAGTTTGTGAGTTCGAGCCCCATGTCAAGCTCTATGCTGACAGCTTGGAGCCTGGAGCCTGCTTCGGATTCTGTGTCCCCCCTCTCTCTGCCTATCCCATGCTCACACACTCTCTCTCTCTCAAAAATAAAAATGAACATTAAAAAAAATTTCAAGTGAACAATTCAGTAACATTAGTGCATTCACAATGTTGTGCAACTATCATCTTTAGCTCTAAAACATTTTCATCTCGCCAAAAGGAAACTAAGGAGTTGCTCCCTATTTTCCCCTACCCTCAAGCCCTGGTAACAACTAGTCTATGTTCTGTCTCTGTGGATTTGCCTATTTTGGATATTTCATAGAAATGGAATCATACAATATGTGATCTTTGGTGTCTGTCTTCTTTCACTTAGCATACTGTTTTTAAGTTCATTAATATTATAGCATTTATTAGTACTTCATCCCCTTTTATGGATAAATAATATTTTATTGTATGTGTATACTACAATTTGTTTATCCATTTTTCCACTGAAGGACATTTGGGTTGTTTCCACTTGTTCAGTATCGTGAATAATATTGCTTTGAGCAATGGCATGTGAAAGCTGAATCCCTGTTTTCAATTAATTTGGGTAATTCCATATTTGGTGCTTTTTCTTTTAAATTTTAATTGCAGTGTAGCTAAAATACAGTGTTATTATAGTTTCAGATGTACAATATAGTGATTCATCAATTCTATACATTACTCAGTGCTTATCATGATAAGTGTGCTCTTAATCCCTTGTATCTATTTCATCCCCTCTCCCCTCCCACCCCAAGAATCATCAGTTTGTTCTCTGTAGTTAAGTGTCTGCTTTTTGACTTGCCTCTTTTTTTCTTTGTTTTGTTTCTTCAATTCCACATATGAGTGAAATAATATGGTATTTGTCTTTCTCTGACTGATTTCATTTAGCCATGTTTAGCTTTTTGATGGAAATACCATATGATAATTGCATGTTTAGCTTTTTTAAGGAACTGCCAAATCATTTTCCACAGCAGCCGAACCATTTTACATTACTAGCAATGTACGGGGGTTCCAGTTTTTCTACATCCTCATCAACACTTGTTATTTTCTGTTTTTTATGTTCTAGCCATTTTGGTGAGTAAAAAGTGGTTTTTCATTGTAGTTTTATTTTTTAAGTTTATTTATTTTGAGAGAGAGAGAGGGGGAGAGAGAGAGAGAGAGAGAGAGAGAGAGAGAGAGAGAGTGCAAACAGGGGAGGGGCAGAGAAAGAGGGAGAGAGAAAATCCCAAGCAGGTAGGTTCCTTGCTTTCAGCACAGAGCCCAGCGTGGGGCTCAGTCCCATGAACTGTGAGATCATGACCTAAGCTGAAATCCAGAGTCAGTCATTTAACCAACTGAGCCATCCAGGCACCCCCATTTTGTAGTTTTGATTTGCATTTTGCTGATGACTAATAATAAGCATCTTTTCATGTACTTGTTGGCCATTTGTATATCTGCTTTGGAGAAATATCTGTTCAAGTCTTTTGCCAATTATTTATTTTTTGTCTTTTTGTTGAGTTCTAAGGGTTCTTTATATAGCTCTAAGCGTTCTTTATCAGATTGCTGATTTGGAAATATTTTCTGCCATTCTATATATGTTGTATTTTAACTTTCTTAATAATGTCATTTGACACACAGAAGTTTTTAATTTTGATGAAGACAAATTTATCTTTTGTTGTTGTTGTCCCTGCTTTTTGAGTTGATACTAATTATTTTCTAAAAGTAGACTGTTTCATAGAAATAGATGTTTTATGACTTTTTTTTTCTGTCCTTAGAAAATTAGCCATTTGAAAGAATTGAGTAGAAGTTGATGTTGACTTTTCTCTGTTCAAATATTTAGATATGGGTCATAGTTCTGGGTGAAATTAAATTTTGGGGGTACATTAAATTTGTAGAAGAGGTATTGAAGTACACTTGTTCTCGTTAGAACTATTTTGGGGAATAGAGTGAGCATAGTTCTTCATACTTGCTTCTTAAATAATTTTTTCTCTATATAAATGTTTGCTGGTATTTGTTACCACAGGATTACTTCATCTGAATTCAAGTTGAATACGTTCTTTCATTTCCATTCCATGAAGTGGTGTGATAACAAAGGCAAAGATGAGTGGCTTTAGTAAAGGAAGGATAAATGGACAGATGAATAAAGGAAAACAGTGTGACTAATAGGAAAATAAGAGATTCCATCAGGGCTCTCGTCTGAGAAGCACCCTAACTTGTTTACGCTTTATGGGGAGCATGAAGGGACTTTATATTCTTTATGTATGTTTTATTTTTTTATCTATTTTTTAAAAACTTATTTATTTATTTACTTTTAAGTAATCCTAAACCCAATGTGGGGCTTGAACTCATGACCCTGAGATCAAGAGTCACATGCTCTTCCACCTGAGCCAGCCAGGCACCCTTTACATATGTTTTAAAGCTTGCTTGCTTGCTTGCTTGCTTTCTTAAAGCATCACTTTCTTTACCTTAAGTCATGAAATATCATATGCTATAACTCTAATGGACTAATTCCTAATGTGAGCATATGGGAAATTTTTAGCAGTTTTTTCTGAGTGTAGATCAGGGATGGCTCTGCTGTCCATACATAAGTCATTTAACCCCTCTGTTTTAGACACCACATCTGCAAAATGAAGAGGATGGATTAATTGGACTTCAAGGATCATTTCTTATCTTAAAATTCCATGCCATTATAAATGTCTGAATTTTACTGAAAAAGTATCAAATTTTGCTCATCTTTTCTGATCCTAATTATTATAAGAGTAAAATTGTTTAAATTCACCCTGTATACTTTTGGTTCAGCTCTGACATGTAAATTATACCTCGAAGTTCAGGTAAATTCTAAGTGTCATGCATAGCTGTTTAGTATTTTACTTATCCAGTTGATTTTCTGTTGAGGAAATTAGCAGCTTTTTTATTTCTAATGAGGAAATTAGCTTTGGAAAATTGTATTGGTTTCCTGTCTCTGGCAGTATTGTGAAAGTGTACTTTATTTATGTTGAAGATCCATCTTGAAAGAGATATCATGGTACGTTTTCCTTTGTTCCCTTGCAGGTTCTTTGGTAGTGAACTACCCTTTTGATGATGATGAACAAGGGCTTGCCACATACAGTAAATCACCAGATGATGCTGTGTTTCAACAAATAGCACTTTCTTATTCAAAGGTAGGGTCGTGTTTAAACACAAAATGCTATAAATTTTTTTTTTAATTAAAAAATGCATTAAAACAAAGTCCTGTAAGACACAGGTCAAGTGCTTTCTCCTTGGTTAAGTCTTTCCATGATTCCTTTCAGGCAGTATTACCACTTTTTCTCCTGTTTTCCACCTCACTGTGAATGTACTGTGTGTTTCCCCATTAACCTTTAAGCTCAAGTAATGTCTTTTCGTCTACAGTTTTTAGCATAGTACCTGAATCCTCAAAACTAAAAATTATAAATTAGCATGCTAGTTTATTTCATTTGACTAGTACTTAAGTTATAAATCTAGTAAAGTGTCTAAGGTAGGGGTTGACAAGCTACAGCTCTAGGGCCAAATCCAGTCCACTAATGGTTTTGTAAATAAAATTTTATTGACACACAGCCACATCCATATTTTATTTTTTACGTACTGTCTGTGGCTTCTTCCTCTTTCAGCATTTGAAAATAAGTCAGTGTAATGAACCATATTAGTAGACTAAAGAATAAAAACATAGCATTCATCTCGATAGGTGCAGAGGGTAGAGTTGAGTAGTTGAAACAGACACTTTCAAGCCTGTAAAGCCTAGAATTTTTACTCTCTGGCCCTTTACAGAAAAAAACTGCCAACCACTAGTCTAAGCTATTGAAAAGACTGTACTAACATAGAAAGGGAAAGCAGGTAGAAATTACCTTATTTTCTAAACTTTCTGTAATGAACATACACTACTTTTACAATCAGAAATGTCATATTTGTGTGTTTGTGTGAAATTTTAATTTAAAACTTGTTCTTAGATACTGTGTTAAAAGTTGGGGCTTGGAAACTAGACTTGTTAGTTTCAATTTTTGGTTTTATTACAGACTCAGTCTGTGACTCCATTGGTTATAGGTAAAGGATATTAATACTGTAACTCTGTGGTCTCCAATCACAGCTTTCTGTTGTTTTACATTTTCCACACCTTCCTTCTGCACAAGTGGACCTTGTTGAGAGTTTCTAACAGGGGAGTATGTCTATTATTACACTTTAAGGAATAGTTGTCTTCTGTTTGAGCGCACCGCTTTTAGAGGGATGTTCATGGCATAAGAGAAGAGTGGGATACCCTCTAAATAGCAAAATAAAATCTAAGTGGTCAGATTTTGCACATTTGGTGCCCAATCTTATAGTTCTGCTTTTTATCCTTATTGTGATTTCTAGTTCCTTAGCCTCTTTTTGTTTTCTTTGACCTTGAATTGTTTTGATTTTACTCTCTACCCAGCTAAACCCATGGACATCCACTTTAGTGATGCCCTTGCTTACACTTTGGAATACCTTTGACATACCTGCCTTGCCAATGTCCGATCCTCAGTAATTGCCACTGTCTCTCTTCTACATCCCAGAAAAGTCACACAGTCATGGAAATTGACAACACTGCATACATATGTATGCTTTCTAGCCTCAGCTGAACCCTCAGTTCTACTTGACAGTATTTCATGGTTTGCTGCTAGACACTTTGGCGATTCTCAACCTTTCTCCTCTACCTGAGCCTCCTAATCCCAGCTTTACTCCCCTTATTCTCAGTAGATCACTGTACCTTGAACTAAATAGATAGAACTCTGAATAATCTGATGTGAGTTCATTCAGATTCTGTCTTCTCAGGTATTATCGATTGATGTCTTTCCCATATTCTCCTCCATTTCTTGATCGTACCACATCCTGCCTCCTCTGGAATCTCGTGCCTTTGTTTTTTCTGTTGTAAATGGGAAAGGTGATAATTAAAATCCTCAGTCTTTACTCACAGCTTCCTTTCTCTTAGCTGTGATGTGTCATGATCTATCATGCACCCAACCCGCCCTGTGCCCTGCCATAGCTTCATGATGAGGAAAAGCAGACTGAGACACTCTGTGAAGACAGAAGAGGGGGACTTGTGAAGGGCAACCCTGAAGGTGATGAAATGACCACCAAACTTTAAGTATCCCCGAAATCTGAAACCTAAATAAAATAGTAACTGGGCAGAGGAGAGCATGGGAATATTGGGAAGAGATTTCAAAGAACATACAACTTACATGGTCTGATGCAATTTAAAGGGACAGGCACAATTTAAAAGAATAGGTTCAAAGGGAAATCTTCCAAACTCTTAACTTCTGGAGCAGAAAAAAGGTGAAAAGAAATGAAGAAGTGCTCTTTGACCATTGGAATGTGAAGAGTAAAAGAAGGAAAAAGGGGAAATATAGGGTTGTCCAAGATAGAAGAGAACCATAAAATCAGAGGACCTACAGTTCCATCCTACATCAAGGCAAATAAACAAAAAACCAGAAATACACTAAAGTGCCTTGACTGCTAGACTGACAGAAAAAGACACCATTAACTAAGAATCATGTGTAACAGCCCAGTATCATAAAAATGGACAAGAGGTAAGTAAAATCCATGGAGAAGCATTTCAGAAAATCGGGAAATGAAATTTCACACATGTGGCCTGAGGAAACCTTACTAGGACCAAAAAACAATCAAGAAGCAGAAGAAAACTATAAGTCAGCACTCCAAACAGATGAAATATACCCAAACACCCATTGAGAATCTGAAAAACCATGTAGACTCAGATATTTAAGAGATGAAAACAGAAATGGAAAAAAAAAAAAAAAAAGATAGGAACAAATGAAGAACAGTTGATAAAACTCAGGAAGGAAATTGAAGAAAAAGACAAAATTATCTCTAAAATGAAAAATAGGGGCACCTGGGTGGCTCTCTTGGTCAAAGCATCTGACTTTGGCTCAAGGTCACGATCTCACGGTTTGTGAGTTCAAGCCTGCATCAGGCTCTCTGCCGTCAGCACAGAGCCTGCTTTGGGTCCTCTGTCCCCCTCTCTCTCTGCCCCGCCCCCCCCCTAAAATAAAAAAATAAAACATTAAAAAAATAAAATTAAATTAAAAATAACAAGAGTTAAAGGTCTCATACTTCCCAATTTGAAACTTATTATAAAACTATAGTAATTAAGTGCTGAGATACTGACATAAGGATGGACACAGGAATCAATGAAATAGAATTGAGTCCAGATATAAACTCTTACGTGTATGGTCGATGGATTTTTTGACAAGAGCACCAAGACAATTCAATGGAGAAATAATAATCTTTCCACCAAATAGTGATGGGAAAACTGGATATGAACAGGCAAAAGCATGAATTTGGGCCCCTTCCTCACACCACACCCAAAAATTAACTCAAAATGTATTATATTCCTAAATATAGGAGCTAAAACCATAAAAGTTATAGAAAAAATAGGGGTGCCTGAGTGGCTCAGTCGGTTAAGCATCTGACTCTTGGTTTAGGCTCAGGTCACGATCTCACAGTTCATGGGATTGAGCCCCAGATCAGGCTCCACACTGGCTGACATGGAGCCTACTTGAGATTCTCTCTCTCGCATCTCTTTGCTACTCCCTCGCTCATGCTCGCACTTTCTCTCAAAATAAATAAATAAACTTAAAAAAAAAAAAAAAAAACTTTTAGAAGGTGCCTGGGCGGCTCAGTAGCTTGAGCACCTGACTGTTGATTTTGGCTCAGGTCATGATCTCATGGTTCATGATATCGGGCCCACATTGGGCTCCATGCTGACAGCACAGAGCCTCCTGGGAATTCTCTCTCTCTGCCCCTTCCCTGCTTGTATTCTCTCTCTCTCTCTCTCTCTCTCTCTAGATAGATAGATAGATAAATAAATAAATTAATTAATTAATTAAAACTTTTAAAAAAACTTTTGGAAGAAATATAGTAATAAATCTTTGTGACATTGGGTTAGACAATGGTTTCCTCAATATGACATCAAAAGCACAAGTGACCAAAAATATATATACATTGAATATCATCAAAAGGTAAAAACATTTTTGCTACAATACTGTACTAGTTTCCTAAGGGTGCTGTGACAAAGGTCTACCAACCGGGTGCCCTAAAACAACAGATATTTATTGTCTTTTAGTTCTAGAGTCTAGAAGTCCAAAATGAAGGTGTTGGCAAAGTCAAGCTGTCTCTGAAACCTGTAGGGGAATTCTTCCTTGTCTTTTCATATCTTCTGTTGTTTTGCTTGCAATCTTTGGCATTCATTGGCTTCTAGACGGATTACTCCACTCCTCTGTCTTCACATGGCATTCTCCCTGTGTCTGTGTCCAAGTTTTCTCTTTTTATAAAGATATCTGTCATATTGGATTAGAGCCCATTCTAATTACCTCATTTTAACCTGAATACCTCTGTAATCAAATATAGTCACATTCTGAAGTCTTTGGGGTTAGGACTTCCAACATATCTTTTTTAGAGGGCCAGAATTCAACACATAACAGAATATCAAGGAACTATAAAAACAACCAACAAAATAGGAGAAAATGATGTATCTGATAAGAATCATATCTAGAATGTGAAGAACTCTTATAACTAATTGAACTGATTGACAACTTAATTGAAAAATGGGCAAAGGATTTGAATATACATTTCTCTAAAGAAGATATACAGATTATCAAGAAGCACACAAAAAGATACTCAATATTGTTAGCTGTCAAGGAAATGCAAATCAAAACCACAATAAGATACTATTTTGTACCCACTAGGGTTGCTTATAATTTAAAAAATGGAAAATAACAAGTATTGGTAAAAATGTGGAGAAATTAGAACCCTTGTATATTGCTGGTGGAAATGTGAAATGGCACACAACTGCTTTAGAAAACAATATTGCAGTTCCTAAGAGTGTTGAATATAGAATTATCACATGACCTGACAGTTCCACTTCTAGGTATATGCCCAAGAGAAGTGAAAACATATGTCCACACAAAAACTTGTACAGTTGACCCTTGAACAATAGGGGTTTTAACTGCATGGGTCCACTTGTATGTGGACTTTCTTCTGTAAATACAGTACAGTACTGCAAATGTATTTTCTCTTCTTTATGATTTTCTTAATAACATTTTCTCTAACTTTATTGTCAGAATATAGTATATAATATATATAACATATAAAATATATGTTAATTCACTGGTTACGTTATCAGTAAGGCTTCTGGCTTTTACTAGTTAAGTTTTGGGGGAGTCAGAAATTATACCTGGATTTTTGACTGTGTGGGGGCATTGGCACCACTAACCCTCATGTTATTCGAGGGTCAACTATACATGAATGTCGTAGCAGCATTCCATAATAGGCAAAAATGGAAGCAACCCAAATGTCCATCAATTGATAAATGGATAAACAAAATATGGTATATTCATGCAGTGGAAGAGTACTCAGAGAATTGAGTACTGATATGAATTACAACTTGAATGACTCTTGAAAACATTATGCTAAGTGAAAGAATAAGTCACAAGAGACTACATATTGTATGATTCATTTATATGAAATTTCTGGAACAGGCAAATCCATAGAGACAGAAAATAGATTGGTGGTTGCCTAGGGCTTGGGAGGCAGGGAGGGGCAGGGAAGAGGTTGGAGGAAAATGAGGAGTGATGATGAGTATGGATTTCTTTGGGGTGATAAAAATGTCCTAAAATTTACCATGGAGACTGTCACACAATTCAGTGAATATACCAAAAACCATTGAGTTGCACACTTTAAGTGGGTGAGTTGAGTTGTACGTGAATTATATTTGAATAAAGCAGATTTTGAGAACCTTAAGACTAAGGGATGGGGCATCCATTCCCAACCATTCCAGTTTATATGTAAGCCAAAAAAAGTCTAAAAGTTATATACCAAAGTATTAACTGATTGATGATCTCTAGGCTTATATTTTTCTCCTTTTGTGCTCCTAAATTTTCTAATCTTTCTACAATAACTTTTATTATATTTTAAGTACAATGAAATTCAATGAATTCAATTAAGTGAAAGAAACAGAGCTTTCTATTGTACAGTGTGACAGATATCAAGTGACAAGAACATTTCAAGGAGGCATTAGTGGAAAAAACTACTGATTTTTAATAAAAATTAGTTTACTTTAGTTAATAGTAGTATTCCAGTGTTAATTTCCTTATCTTGGTAACTGTACTATGGGTATACAAGATGCTAACATTAGGAAAAGCTGGATCAAGGGTATATAAAACTCTACTATTTTTGTAACTTTTCTGCAAGTCTAAAATTAGTTCAAGAGAAATCAAAAGAAAAGAAAAAAAGGAAGTAGTCTCTTATCTCCACTCCCTTATTATTCTCTCCTCTCAGTTTCTTGTCATCTGTCTTCTGCCTACATTGTTTTACCTGGAGGTGCCCCATCGAGGCTTACCAGAAATCTGTTCATTCGTTCTTTCTTTGTTTTCTTTCTTTCTTTCTTTCTTTCTTTCTTTCTTTCTTTCTTTCTTTCTTTCTCTTTCTTTCTTTCTCTTTCTTTCTCTTTCTTTCTTTCTTTCTTTCTTTCTTTCTTTCTTTCTTTCTTTCTTTCTTTCTTTCCTTTCTTGACCTCTGAAGTCTGACACTATTGTCTTCTTCCCTTGATCTCTGTCCCATTGTATAATAGAAAGCTGTTTTTTCTCTTTTGTTGGCTGGACATTGTCTCTTTTCCTTTTTTTTCCCCTCCATCTTCTGTCCTCAGCCGTTTTACTGTCTTGGCAATTGCATCCAATTGCTTTACCTGTCACCACTCTGTAAATGCCTCTTTAAAAAACTGTTTCATAGAATGGAAGTTATTGTAAAAAGATTAGAAGATACAGGCAAGCAACAAGAAGAAGAGAAACCTAAAGACTATCCATCATTTAGTATCTTGGTAAATTACTTTTAGACTGTGTGGTCTGAGACTGGACAGTTAGATCCTCACCCCCAGTCTTCTTTAACTTGTCAAACTGTTTGCTTGAAAAAAATTAATTTAGGTTTAAAAACAATTATCAGGGGCGCCTGGGTGGCTCAGTCGGTTAAGCATCCGACTTCAGCTCAGGTCACGATCTCGCGGTCCGTGAGTTCGAGCCCCGCGTCGGGCTCTGGGCTGATGGCTCAGAGCCTGGAGCCTGCTTCCGATTCTGTGTCTCCCTCTCTCTCTGACCCTCCCCCGTTCATGCTCTGTCTCTCTCTGTCTCAAAAATAAATAAAAACGTTAAAAAAAATGAAAAAAATAAAAAAATTAAAATAAAATAAAATAAAAACAATTATCAGAGTAACGAGAATTAAAGGAGATGGTAAAATGCACTGGTAAAATCAAATCCAGGGGCTCATGATCTCACACTTGGATTGTTTCAGTAGTACTCTGATGGATCTCCCTGGCTTTGGTTTATTTTTTACACTATTACTAGGATAAATTTCCTAGAGCCATGAATACTTCACATATCATCCTTTCTTCAGAGATTTTTAGTGGCTCTTTATTTCTCTGAGAATAAAGTCAAAATGTTAATAGCTACTTCCTAGAACTATGTTGTCTAGAGTCAGATTTATACTAGATGATCCACTAAGATATAGGAAGAATATATTAAAAATCCTATTTGTAGTTTTAAATTTATCCTTTAAATGTTTTTTTATGTAGCTTTATATTATATATGTTATATTAATATAGTAGTATATCTATATAATTTATAGTTAAATGGATAGATATTGATGGAAATGGAGATAAAGACATAGATGTATGTAAGCCTTTAGTGGAAAAACCAGAAAGCAAAAGAGCATGGCACAATTATTAAAGTATTCTAAAATAATAATTTTTATTCAATAAGAAAGCAGTGGGGGACATCTCAGTGGCTCACTTGGGTAAGTGTCTGACTCTTGATTTCAGCTCAGGTCAAGATCTCACAGTTTGTGAGATTGAGCCCCATGTTGGGATCTGTGCTAACAGCACGGAGTCTGCTTGGGATTCTCTCTGCCTCTCTCTCTCTCTCTCTCTCTCAAAATAAATAAACATTTTTTAAAAAAGCAATGGGATTAAAAAAAGAAAGCAATGGGATCATAAGCTTATAATTGGTATGTTAAGTTTATGAAAGCGGGGATTGTTCATACACACACACATATATATATATACATATATACATACATATGTATATGTATATATACATATACATATATATATGTGTGTGTGTGTGTGTGTGTATATATATATATATATATATATATATATATTTGTGTGTGTGTGTGTATTTTAATCCAGGTGGGTTGTTTATATATGGCATAGAAAGATATACATTGAAAAGTCTGACTGCTTCCCATGCTTCCATCCACCCCATTCCCACCCCCACATACACCCTATTGGTAACCACTTTTATTGTTTTTCCTTATCCTTCCTGTAGTTTTTGATGTAGATGGAAACAAGTATAAGTAAAGATTCTTAATTTTTTTTTTTTTCAGGAAAATGCCCAGATGTTTCAAGGTAGACCCTGCAAGAATATGTACCCTAATGAATACTTTCCTCATGGAATAACAAATGGAGCTAGTTGGTATAATGTCCCAGGTAAACATTCTTTAATACCAAGGCCATATAACCTGGATTTTCTGTCACCCTGGATGGTGCCACTTCTTACTGATTTTTTAATTTTGAGAAAATATCATTCCTTTAAAAATATTGTTTAAATAATTTAAAACATTCAAATAACCTTTTCAACTATGTTTAAATTTGACACATGTTGGGGTACCTGAGTGGCTCAGTTGGTTAAGTGTCCGACTTTGGCTCAGGTCATGATCTCATAGTTCATGGGTTCAAGCCCCACATAGGGCTCTGTGCTGACAGCTCAGAGCCTGGAGCCTGCTTCCAATTCTGTGTCTCCCTGTCTCTCTGCTCCTCCCCTGCTTGCACTCTGTCTCTCTCTCTCTCTCTCAAAAATAAAATAAAAACATTTTTAAAAATTTTTGAGTAAAGATAGTGTACTAAAACTTCATGAAAGTGTTATATTTTATCTCTGGCTATGACAAAAAACCTTAGATGTGCTGATAAGAGTGTAAGCCACATTTGAATTCTTTTTTTTTTTTTATTTTTTTAATGTTTATTTATTTTTGAGAGACCGAGCGCAAGCAGGGAAGGGGCAGAGAGAGAGGGAAACATAGAAACTGAAGCATGCTCCAGGCTCTGTCAGCACAGAGCCTCACGTGGGACTTGAACTCACAACCCCTGAGATCATGACCTGAGCTGAAGTCAGATGCTTAACCGACTGAGCCATCAGGCGCCCCTACACTTGAATTCTTCTTGAACATGAAGGTACAGGTGTCTTACCTGTACTACAAGCATCAAAGAGCTCTCAAATGAACATATTATTGTTTTTCAACCAATGCTAAGAAAAGATGGATTTAGCTTTTTACTAGGAATGTTGTTTACCTTTTGGGATGGGATCTAGTTCTACTTCTTCAGAGTGACTGATTTTAATTTTTTATCCTCCAGGTGGTATGCAGGACTGGAACTATTTACAAACAAATTGCTTTGAAGTGACTATTGAGCTAGGTTGTGTGAAATACCCATTTGAGAAAGATCTGCCAAAATTTTGGGAACAGAATCGAAGATCTCTAATCCAGTTTATGAAACAGGTAACTATTAAGGAGTGAAGTATGAAATTTCTCCCAAGAGCAAAAATACATGTGTGTATTGTGTGTACATGTAGTTTTCACACAGTGATTTTCAAATATGCTCTTCTGAATTCCAGTTTGGACTATTCATGTTTTAGTATTTTTATCTGGAAAATTCACGGATGAAAATGAGTTGAAGAGCTCATGCAGGCAAGAGTTGAAAATGATTAAACAGGGTAGTGATGTTTTGCTTTTAATGGATAATGACTTTTTATTCTGTCTTTATTAAAAGACTGACATAGGGGCGCCTGGGTGGCGCAGTCGGTTAAGCGTCCGACTTCAGCCAGGTCACGATCTCGCGGTCCGTGAGTTTGAGCCCCGCGTCAGGCTCTGGGCTGATGGCTCAGAGCCTGGAGCCTGTTTCCAATTCTGTGCCTCCCTCTCTCTCTGCCCCTCCCCCGTTCATGCTCTGTCTCTCTCTGTCCCCAAAATAAATAAATGTTGAAAAAAAAAAAAAATTTAAAAGACTGACATAAATTGGATACACCCCTAAGCATTTGTCAAGTGATAGAAAGATGGGCTAGGGGGTAAGTGTTTTCATTCTTTTTCTTTTTGCCAGTGGTTCACTGTTGAAATGGTTAATTTCCTTTTGTTTGAATATGCTTGGTGACCAATAGGTAAAGACTGTAAGAAATATGCTAATATTAGTTAATTAGTAGGGTAATCTAATACTTTGTGCCAGTACTTTTCTGCTTTATTCTTTTTGCTGCATTGACTGGCATAAAGGCTATGAGTTTGCGTACTAATTTTTTAAAACACTTTATTATGAAAAATTTTAAACACATAGAAAAGTTGTTACTAATAAATACCTAGATTTGATAGTTTTTAACATTTTGCTGCATTTGTTTTATTTATATAAACTTACCCACATACACATATATTCCTGAACTATTTCAATATAAATTGCAGCTATTATGGCATTTCACCCCTAAATATTTCAGAATGCATCTTTTAGAATAAGGATATTCTTCTATATGACATCTTCAAGTGCCATTATCTCACTGAAGAAAATTAACAGTAATTCTCTAATATTACCTAATACCTAGCCCACATTCAGATTTCCTTCTTTTCCCCCAAAATGTCTTTTCATAGCTGTATTTCAGAACCAGGATCTAGTCAAGGTTTATGCATTGCATTTGATTATTACATCTCTTTATTCGCTTTAATCTATAATAGTCCTTCCATTTTTTAAAAATGACATTTCCCTTTTAAAGAGGCCAGGACAGTTTTCTTGTAGAATGCCCTATATACTGAAATTGTCAGAAGTGCTGAAGTTTAAACAGTCTTATTTATAGTCTTCATGATAAAGACAAACATAACCTATGAAAAATTAGCCTTTCAGCAACTAAAATACTTTGTTTAATGGGTGTTTACCTTTACTGTCAACTCCTAAATTCCTCTTTGCTCCACATGTTTATTTTATTACCAATCTGTTATTTGGGATGTAAGCTCCCAAAATAATTAGATGATGATCTTTACCATTGACATATGGGTGTCCTTGTACTTTATCCAGGTTCATCAAGGTGTCAAAGGATTTGTCCTAGATGCCACGGACGGCAGGGGTATATTAAATGCCACCATTAGCGTTGCTGAAATTAATCACCCAGTGACTACTTACAAAACTGGAGATTACTGGCGTCTCTTGGTTCCAGGAACTTATAAGATCACAGCATCTGCTCGAGGGTGAGTGAATGAATACTTTGAAATTGAGTGCTTTAAGAGACTCTTAAAAACTGAGAACAAACTGAGGGTTGATGGGGGGTGGGAGGGAGGGGAGGGTAGGTGATGGGCATTGAAGAGGGCATCTTTTGGGATGAGCACTGGGTGTTGTATGGAAACTAATTTGACAATAAATTTCATATAATAAAAAAAAAAGAAAAGAAATTGAGTGCTTAAGGAAAGACAAACATGGTTGTATCCTAGAAGATTATTGCCAGAAAGCCCCAGAGAAGCCAAGCAACCCTGACTTTCATGCTGGGAAGTTTAGAGCTGGTTACCCATTTGAATCTCCTCTAGTGATAAAGTGAGTACATGAATTATCACATTTAAGAAATCTGTGAAATTATGCACTTTGGACAGTGGCCTCTTTTATCCTCCTCCTCTCAGGTCCACTGCTCCCTGTCTAGATGTGAGTAATTTCCTTCACTATTGGTAACAATTCTGGGAAGCACCTGTTAGTTGGGAAAAAAGGACTCCTGCTCTACTGTATACTTCTAGTCATGTCCAATGACTAGAAGTTACATTTGTTGCCTTTTATTTTCATTTATTTATTGAGAGAGAGAGAGAGATTAGGGGAGAGGGACAGAGGGAAGGAGAGAATATCTCAAGCAGAGCTCAATCCCACAGCCCTGGAATCATCACCTGAGCCAAAACTAAGAGTCGGACACTCAACCTAGTGAGCCACCCATACATTTGTTCCCTTTTAAAGCTCTTTCACACTTTTTTCTATCCACACTTAAACCATTCTCTTTTTTTTCTATTTAAAAAAAGTATTTTTAATTTGAGTATAGTTCACACACAATGTTACATTAGTTTCAGGTATACAACAGTGATTCAACAAGTCTTTACATAATGCTATGCTCACTGTAAGTGTAGCTACCGTTGGTCATTATACAATGCTATTACAATACCATTGACAGTATTTCCTGTACTGTGCCATTTATTTCTATGACTTATTCATTCCATAACTGGAAGTCCATAACATAGAAATAAGTTATTTCTATGACTTATTCATTCCATAACTCCTACTCCTCTTCCCCCATTTTGCTTACCTGCCCCCCACAACTATCAGATTTTTCTCTGTATTTATGCATCTGTTTCTGCTTTTTGTTTGTTTATTAGTTTGCTTTATGAGATTCCATATCTGAGTGAAATCATACAGTATTTGCTTTCTAAGTCTGACTGATTTCACTCAGCATAATACCCTCTAGGTCCATCCATGCTGTTGCAAATGGCACGATCTCATCTTTTTTTAATGGCTACATTATATTCCACTGTGTATATACACCACATCTTCCTTATTCATTGGTTTATTGATGGACACTTAGGTTGTTTCCATCTCTTGGCTATTATAAATAATGCTGCGGTAAACATAGGGGTGCATGTATCTTTTCAATTTACTGCTTTTGTTTTCTTTGAGCAAATAGTCAATAGTGGCATTATTGGCTTATATGGTATTTCTATTTTTAATTTTTTGAGAAACCTCTATAGTGTTTTCCATAGTGGCTATACCAGTTTACATTCCCACCAGTAGTGTAAAAGTGTTCTTTTTCTCCTCGTCCTTACCAACACTTGTTATTTCTTATCTTTTTTATTTTAGCCATTCTGACAGGTGTAAGGTAATATCTTGTTGTGGTTTTGGTTTGCATTTCCCTGATGGTTAGTAATGTTGAGCATCTTTTCATGTGCCTATTGACCATTTATATATCTTCTCTGGAAAAATGTCTATTCAGATCCTATGCCCAATTTTTAATAGGATTATTTGGGGGTTTTTTGGCTGCTGAGTTGTATAAGTTCTTTATATATTTGGTATATTAACCCCTTACTGAATATATCATTTGCAAGTGTCTTCTCTTGTTCAGTAGGTTGCCTTTTTGTTTTGTTGATGATTTCCTTCACTGTGCAAAAACATTTTATTTTGGTGTAGTCCCAATAGTTCATTTTTGTTTTTGTTTCCCTTGCCTTAGGAGACATATCTAGAAAAATGTTTCTTTGGCCAAGATTAGAAAAATTACTACCTACCTCTGTTCTCTTCTAGGATTTTTTATGGTTTCAGGTCTCACATTTAGGTCTTTAATCCATTTTGAATTTATTTATGTGTATGGTGTTAGGAAGTGGTCCAGTTTCATTCTTTTACATGTGGCTGTCCAGTTTTCCCAGCACCATTTATTGAAGAGACTACCTTATCCCTATTGTATATTCTTGCCTTTTTTTTATCATAGATTAATTGACCATGTATGTGTGGGTTTATTTCTGGGCTCTCTATTCTATTCCAGTGATCTATATTTGTCTATTTTTGTGCCAATACCATGCTGTTTTGATTACTACAACTTTGCAGTATATCTTGAAATCTGGAATTGTGATACCTCCAGCTTTGTTTTTCTTTCTCAAGATTGCTTTGGCTATTTGGGGTCTTTTGTGTTTCCATACAAATTTTAATATTATTTGTTCTAGTTTTATGAAAAATGCTGTTGGGGGGCACCTGCATGGCTCAGTAGGTTAAACATCCAATTCTTGATCTCAGTTCAGGTCATGATCTAATGGTTTGTGAGATCAAGTACCATGTTGGGCTCTGCATTGACAGTATGGAAGCTGCTTGGGATTCTCTCTCTCTCCCTATCTCCCTGTCTCTCTGCCTCTCCCCTGCTCACATGCTCTCTCTCTCTCTCTCTCTCCCTCTCTCAAAATAAAAAAAAAAAAGTAAAAATAAATGCTATTGGTATTTTGATAGGGATTGCATTGAATCTGTAATTGCTTTAGGTAGTATGGACATCTTAAAAATATCGATTCTTTCAATCCATGAACATGGAATATCTTTCCATTTGTTTGTGTCATCTTCAATATCTTTTTTCAGTGTTTTATAGTTTTCAGAGTACAGGTTTTCACCTCTTTGTTTAGTTTTATTCCTAGGTATTTTATTCTTTTTGATGCAATTGTAAACAGATTGTTTTCTTAATTTCTCTTTCTGCTACTTTGTTATTAATGTGTAGAAATGCTACTGGGTAGTATTTGTATCCTGCAACTTTCTGGGTACTTTGTATCCTGCAACTTTACTGAATTCATTGATTACTACTAGTAGATTTTTGGGTAGCCTTCAGGATTTACTATGTATGATATCATGTCACCTGCAAATAGTGACAGTTTAACCTCTTTACCAATATGGATGCATCTTATTTCTTTTCTTTCTTTTCTCTTCTTTTCTTTTTTCTTTTTTTTGTTTGAAGCGAAGATTATATGGCTAGGACTTCCAGTATTCTGTTAAGTAAAAGTGGCAAGAGTGGACATCTTTGTCTTGTTCCTGATCTTAGAGGAAGAGTTCTCAGGTTTTCACCATTGAGTATGATGTTAGCTGTGGGTTTTTCATATATGGCCTTTATTATGTTGAGGTATTGCTTTGGTGAAATTTTCTTTCTTATTTCTAATTTCTAAAAAGGACATTTTCACTCTTTTTTTGGTTTTACTTCTACAAAGACATATTTACTTTAAAAAAAAAGAGAGACAATGAACTTAGGACTTTTTTTTTGGATAAAACTTAATTTCTTTATCTTCTCTACCCTTACAAACAGCTTAGAATCGAACCACCTTTTTAATCCAAAACGCATCATTTTTACCGTGTTGTAATTTTCTTTTTGTGTTTATAAGTATAGATGTTACAACTGGATATTATTCCCCTCCTTACTAGTTATCTTATTTCTGAAGAGTTAGCTTGAACATTATATTGAAGTAAGGGGTAAGAACATGAAAATATTTCTAGTTACTGCTACCTTTTTAAAGATTTCAGAAGAAAATATCTATTGGTCCATAAAATGTCTATGGGTTAGAACTTCACACTAATGAGAAACAAGGTCTTTTCTTTTTATTTTTCTTATATTTTGTCATAGTATTAAAACTAAAGCAGCAAAATATCTGAAAAAATAGGGCAAGAATGATTGTTTTTTAAATTGTCCTTAGTACCTCTCAAATTTTTACCAACCGTAAAAATACCTGATGACCAGACAGACTCAGATTCCAGGAGAGGCGATGGAGTATTTACCATGCAAATACTAACTTTTTGAGGTCTATATTTAATCTTAAACCCACTCATATTTTACACACACCCATGTCTGTTCTTTGTTAATTTATGTTTAAAACAAATAATAAATTATAAAGTTAAAAATTTGACTCTCATAGGATTTGTCTCAAGGATTCACATATCCTCTGCAGCCTTCTGTTTCTACACAAAGCATACTCCACCTGTGAGAGAGCATGGCTCTAATCTCCCTTTATTACAGGTATAGTCCAGTATACCAAAAGAATGTGACTGTAAAGAGTGAAGGTGCTATTCAGGTCAACCTTCACAATTGTTCGATCGTCAGCAGATTCAAACAATGTGAATCAAAGAGGAAGGAAGGGGGACAGCACCAACACCGATGATGCAGTGATCCAACCACTAAAGAGTTTGAAACTTTAATTAAAGACCTTTCAGCCGAGAATGGTTTGGAAAGCTCATGTTACGGTCCTCCTCAAATCTGGCCTTTACCGATTACCACTGCATAAAGACTTATCAGAGTTTCTGAGAGGACTTGGAGATGAACTACCCACACATCAAATCTCACCAAGTAAGTGTCACCCTCTTACTGCTTTCATCTGCTCGTCGTTCTTTTTCTTTACTTTTCTTTGTTTCTTCCTTTTTCTTTGTTAAAGAAGTTACATTCAACATAAGCCATATTTGGGTTCTTGTAATTTATTTGAACTGCATATGGGGAGAATTGATTTACTTCTTTTGAAACAGTTCTTTCTAACAATGAATCTGAAAACTTTATGAGGAACATTAGAGGAGAATTACTAGTTAGATTAGCAATGGATGGTCTATGCCTCCTGGAAACATAAAGTACTCTCCTAGTGATAACTTTGAATTAAAAGCAGCACCTTTTGCTTGATGCAGATTCACGACTGTTTCTTAGTTTGTTTTTATTTTCTGGGGG